AAGCAAGAACTGGTGGGACCACAAAACAGACAAAGTAATAGAAAATGAAGAGGCTAAAGTGCTCTGGGACTTTAGAATTCAAATAAACAAGCACTTGCCACACAACACCCCAGACTTAAAAAATGTTGATAAGAAAGACAAAAAGGTCTGGATAGTGGACATTGCAACCTGGAGACAGCAGAATAGAAGAGAAAGAACTGGAGAAAATCACAAAATACAAAGACCTGCAAATAGAAATAGAATGACTGTGGCAAAAGAAAGATTACTGTTCTCAACAATTCTTTTTCAGCCTGATCTTATAGCCGTCTCTATATATGGGACACCAGTAGATTACTGTTCTCAACAATTCTTTTTCAGCCTGATCTTATAGCCGTCTCTATATATGGGACACCAGTAGATTACTGTTCTCAACAATTCTTTTTCAGCCTGATCTTATAGCCGTCTCTATATATGGGACACCAGTAGATTACTGTTCTCAACAATTCTTTTTCAGCCTGATCTTATAGCCGTCTCTATATATGGGACACCAGTAGATTACTGTTCTCAACAATTCTTTTTCAGCCTGATCTTATAGCCGTCTCTATATATGGGACACCAGTAGATTACTGTTCTCAACAATTCTTTTTCAGCCTGATCTTATAGCCGTCTCTATATATGGGACACCAGTAGATTACTGTTCTCAACAATTCTTTTTCAGCCTGATCTTATAGCCGTCTCTATATATGGGACACCAGTAGATTACTGTTCTCAACAATTCTTTTTCAGCCTGATCTTATAGCCGTCTCTATATATGGGACACCAGTACTCATTGAATGTCTTCATGTAAGTTGGAGGGAAGTGTGCTGCAATCATGCAGTGTAAGAGGGCTTATTCACTTTCACTGAATTGGATGGCAACCCTGTATGCACAAGAGATATTTGCACATCTACTATTTAGAATGTTAAAGAGAAGTTAATCAATTTATTCAAGCAGAAAAACTCTTCCCTTCATTGAGACCCATTTTTCCACCCAGTATTTTTCCATGAGACTCTAATAATAAAATAATATTGGCCACCAGATACTTCAGCCACCTAATGTGAAGAGAGGACTCTTTGGAAAAGACCCTGATGCTGGGAAAGATTGAAGGCAAAAGGAGAAGGGGACGGCAGAGGATGAGATGGCTAGATAGCATCACTGAAGCAATGAACATGAAATTGAGCAAACCCCGGGAGGCAGTGAAGGACAGGAAGGCCTGGCACGATATGGTTCATGGGGTCATGAAGAGTCGCACATGAATTAACAACTGAACAACAATAATTAATGTCTGGAGGTTGAGTCATGGCAACTGGACTTCTTTTCTTTTTGGTTAGAGCCATTTTGCAAGTTGTCCAAGCAGCTTCTTCGGCTTGGACAAGTAGCGAAACGTCTC